GCTATTTCGGATGACCACAATATCTCACATATTAGGATGCTGGGCGATTTGAAGGCCTGAGCGAGAACGAGGCTGTCGCGCTGAGCGACAGTGAGGCATTCCATTCGTCCAAATTCTGGGCGTCGATTTGAAATGCTAAACTGTACATGACTAAATGTGACTAATTCCTTGTTTGGTTTAGCAAAAAATTAATAAAAATTTAAGTTGAAGTCAACAATTAATTTTTTCCCCCGTTGGCAACCATTATTTGGGGAATATAAAGTTTTGAATAGTGATTTTTAGGAGAATGTATAAATAAAAAGTCTGGAATAAATTTTGAATTTATGTGCAAAATATTTTATTATGTGAATGTGTGGTTAAAAATGAGTATATAGAAAAAGAGTTTGAAAATAATAGATGTCCAACATGGCTTAATCACACATTTTATGGAACCATAACTTTTATTAACTTTTCAATCATATATTTCATTCACTTTTATAAAAATACTAGTTGTAAGCAACGTGCAATGCACGTTTGCTTAGTTTATATTTAAACATAAAATCTCAAGGTATTCACCAACCAGTCACTTGTGCTGCATCAATAGACCTTTAATTCATTATCCGAGAAAAATGCATTACCAGAGGTTATAAAATGCCTTATGTTAACCAATAAGGAAGTGGAATGGAGAAAAATATTCAAAAATAGGGGCATAAAATCACACAGAGTTCCATAGTTCGGTGGGAATAGAGGCTAAGACTTGCACAGTCAAGAATGGAAATACAGGCTTCATTTGCTAACTTAATTCGCCTCTTATATCTCACATGCTCATAGCTCAGGCTGATAGAGATGGTCTTAAAAAATATACCCTCTTCTAAACTCAACTCTAATAAACTAAACAGCTACAGAATCCCAATTTCTATTGACAATGCGGAATATCAAGTATTACCATTTAGCAATTCAATAAACCACAATCAGAAAGAGTTTTACACGATCCAGAGAGAAACAGACCTGATCCACCACTTGATTACTCCGAAATGCAAAAAATTGTAACGATCACTTCTGAATCCCAACACGTACATTTGGTTCCTTGTGGGTTTACAATCACATTCGGCACCCTCCCCTTCAGAAAGGATACTTAAAACCCAGCTAGAAATGAGACGGTGCCCAAGGTGCTTATAAATCCACAAGACACGTCCAAACGGTGTGGGATTCAGAAGTGTTACGGGAAAATATATAAAGTTATACAATATTTGAAATTACCATTGGGAAAGAAGTGGTGAGGTTCGGAGGAACCGACCAAAGGGGCATGTAAAGAAGGCGGGTATGGTTCA